AGTGTCTTCTTAAAAACTTCCAGTGTTGGAGCATTCACCACTTCTGGAGGCAGGTTGTTCCACTGGTTAATTGTTCTAACTGTCAGGAAGTTTCTCCTTAGTTCTAGGTTGCTTCTCTCCTTGATTAGTTTCCATCCATTGCTTTTTGTCCTGCTTTCAGGCGCTTTGGAGAATAGCTTGACTCCCTCTTCTTTGTGGCAGCCCCTGAGATATTGGAATACTGCTATTATGTCCCCCCTCGTCCTTCTCTTCATTAAACTAGACATACCCAATTCTACTGATCTTTTGGATTATCAGAACCAGAATCAGTCCTGCCCTGTAATAAATGAGGAAAAGAACATATCCATGGTACTTTTGGATAAAACATAGGATTAAAATAGATTAATTTTCATAATGTTTCTTCCTGTCTCTTTCCCCCAACATTAGCTGCATTTAGAAGAGTAAAGAGAATTGACTTCAGATTGGCCAAGTGAGCATCAGGACTGATTAAAAGAGTTGAATCCAAATCTCATTCAAAGTTCCCTCATCACTAGACCTGCCAACAAATATAACTGATATTGTCCACAGAAGATTGACTTTCCTTGTTGCAAAAATGTGGGCTATTTGGGCAGATAATTATTTTTTTAGTTTTTAACCCCACCCTCATTCATGCCTAAGGCGGGAGTAGCACTAACAATCTCCTGGTTTTTAGTAGCTTTTTAATTTGTAATTATTTTTTTTAATTTTTAACCTAGACTATGCACATTCCTATATTTATTAGATAGCTGTATTGGTAAATCTGGATGACGCCCATCACAATGGGGGTGGGGGACTACGCTATAATTCTTACAACGTTCAGGCAGCATTTGCAGAGTCAGCAGTACCTGGTGAGATTCTCTCTCTCAATGATCTTTCTGAACTGCACAACTGCAGCCTGAATGTGGCGGCCTTCACTGCTTTGTACTTGCTCTCTCTGCAATCAGAAGCGGGGGGTTTCCCCCCCCCCTTCCTTGGGGAGTTTTCAAACCACATAACGGATTAAAGCATGCACAAAAATGATGGACAAAGGGAGACAGCGAGCACCTGGGTGTCTCTTGCCTATTGAAAGCAGAGTAGAAAATCTCCTTGCATTATTATTGTGATTATCATTATCAAAAGACTTTGTGTGCAGAAGTACACGTGCAACACTAATTGCAGCTCTCTTCACTGAGAAGTCCCGTTTTGTTTACCCAACAATTTGTTTTGGAGTTCATAAACAATGGACAAGAGGTGACATGGATTTAACCTCTTGATACTTAATTCCAGCACAAGGTTTCATACCTTCCTGCAAGGAGCTTCCTATATTATTATTATTATTATTATTATTATTATTATTATTATTATTATTATTATTATTATTATTATTATTATTATTATTATTATTATTATTATTATTATTATTATATAAGAAAAACGAACACCAGGATAAAATAAACAGGACTGTTTAATATAAACAAGCCTGTGAGTAAAAAGGTTATTTACTGAGCTTTCATCAGCCAAACTACTGACATCATCAGAGTTAAAATGCTAGGTGATTAGGGAGCTTGCCTATATACAGCTGCCTGTCTTCAAGGTCCCTTCCAGCTCTATTCTATTCTATTCTATTCTATTCTATTCTATTCTATTCTATTCTAGTCTAGTCTAGTCTAGTCTATTTCTATTTCTATTTCTATTTCTATTCTATTCATAATACATAGAAAATTATTAAAATGCCTGAAAGTTCTATCTAAAAGTAGAAGAGACTACCTCGGTCTTCTAGATTGACTAAATTTGAGCACTATGGAAGTAGCAGCAGCAGAATAAGGAGGAATGTCCTGACATTGAGAGCAATTAATCAATGGAACAGCTTGCCTCCTGGAGTTGTAGTTGCTCTATCACTGGAGGTTTTGAAGACAAGATTGGGCAGCCATTTGTCCGGGATGGTATAAGTCCCCTGCCTTGGGCAAAGGGTTGGACCAGGAGACCTACAAAGTACCTTCTAGCCCAGTGTTTCTCAACCTTGACAACTTTAAGATGGGTGGACGTCAACTCCCAGAATTCCCCAGCCAGCATTTGCTGGCTGGGGAATTCTGGGAGTTGAAGTCCACCCATCTTAAAGTAGTCAAGGTTGAGAAACACTGTAAATCTAGCCCTATGATTTTATGATTCTAAGAAAGCAGCTTGAGATTGCCGAGGCTTCACTGTGATGCCTTCTTCCTTTTTCAAAACTGAAGAGTTAGCTCACTAGCAATAAGCAAAGAAGCAGGGAAAGGGAAGGGAGTTCACTTCAGTCCTTCTGTTTGTTTACGTCCTGCTACCTTCAAGAGCTGGACATTTGACACCCGCTTCCTCTATTTTGCAGCCTCAAAGATTTCTCAGGCTGCCAAGGCTGGTCAGGCTCCCGTGTTCAGCTCTGCAGGCCTCAGGTTTTGCAGGGCCGGATTCAAGAGTTAATAAGTTAGCTGCAAACCCAGCCTCTCCCACAGAGCACCCACCCACCCATGGAATCCGACAACCTGGGGTCATATTTCTTACACCTTGATGGTCAAGATGCCAGAGAGGAGGAAGGAAGGAAGGAAGGAAAAAGCCGATTCCAAAATAATCCTTAAAGCCACTTGCAGAAGGAAGTACATACTGGAGTTGTTATTGCTTGGGGGAAGGCACTGTCTGTGATACCCGGAAGTCTTCGTCACGGCTTCGGCCAGAGCAGCAACTAATGGCTGATGCCAGGCTCCAACAACGCCAGAGGGGAAGGAAAGGAATCCCATTGGCCAGGAGCCATCATGTTAAGCACACCCGCCAATTGTCTCTTAAGAGGCCAGGCAGAGGGAGGGTAAGGAGGAAAGACCAAGGTTAGCTTTGGCCTCTGAACCTGCTCCCTGTCAAGGCTGTGAGTGTGCATATGTGCGCGCCTGCGCTTTGTTGTTGTTTTTTCCAGAGGCATGCAAAAGTAATTGTAAAAACCGCCGAGTTTCCCCTCGAGGGGCCTGGGAAAGTGCCAGGCAGAATCCTGGCAGGATTGATACCAGAGAAGCCAAATAGACCTCAGCTCGGAGCCAAGATACAGAGGACAGCATCAGAGATGAAAAGGGACTGTAATTTGGGAGTGAACCATAATGAAAGGTCAGGAAATGACCCCCAGAACGGCAGTGCAACACGGAAGGCACGAAGGGGTTTCCAGAGGACATTTTTATCCATCTTCCAACTTCCACAAATAAGAGTTCTGGATTGCACTAACGTGTAAAGCTGAGCCATCCAACTTCCTGTTTTGTTTTTTAGAAGTTTTTGGTAGGCTCAATCAGCAGCCACCGAACATTACACCGAGAAATAGACCCTCAGGCTCAAAAGCAGTCTATTTCCAAGTTCTAGGTCTAGGACAGTGATGGCGAACCTTTTAGAGACTGGGTGCCCAAACTGCAACCCAAAACCCACTTATGCATCGTCGGGTGCCGGATGGGTGTGGCCCATTGGCTGGGTGTGGCCAATTGGGTGGGCGTGGCTGTGGTGGTAACAGCAGACTGAATGGGACTAAAAAGTTCAATCAATCAATTCCAACTTTGCAAGATCTTTTTTTTCCCCACGAGAAATTAAAATTGACTGATTGAATCTTTTTTCTTTTTTCTTTGCATATGGCGGCGGAGGCCTAAAGCGAAAAGGTTTTATAAAACCCAGCTGAAGACCTAGGACTGGGGCGATGGCACGCGTGCCCACAGAAAGGGCTCTGCGTGCCACCTCTGGCACCCGTGCCATAGGTTCGCCACCACTGGTCTAGGACAGGGGTAGGCAACCTTGGCTCTTTTATGACTCATGGACTTCTACTCCCAAAATTCCTGAGCCAGCTGGCTCAGGAATTCTGGGAGTTGAAGTCCACAAGTCATAAAAGCCAAGGTTGCCTACCCATCCTATTTTGGTGTAAAATCTGACAGTATTTTCTCCAACCCCACCTGGAGGACCACATGTTGGGGTACGTACAGTCTTGTGAGATTGAGAAAAAGAATATTTCTCAAGTCTACCTGTATAAGGCAAGGATTATATATACTGTATCTCAGATTAGTGAATCTTGGAACTCAAGCAAGTGGGGAGACATTATGTGCGAACTCTGTCCCTCGCAAGGTTTCAAGGAGGCATCTGGCTGGCGATAGGGGAAATGGGATGTTGCACTAGATAGGCATTTAACAATGTTCATATATTAAACACCAGTTCTTAAAAAGAACTTTTAGATCTGTGTTTTTCCACCTCAGCAACTTTAAGATATGTGGACTTTAACTCCCAGAATTCCCAAGCCAGCCATCTTTCTCTCTTTCCTATTTTTCTTTTATATCCTTTTCTCTGTATTGTCTTTTTATTTTTCTGTAGCTTTTAACTATAATTGCTCTGTAGCTTTTAACTATAACCTCTATATTCAATTGGACATTTTTACCTCTAAGGAATAGTTACTGGGGCCAAGAATAGCAATAATAGCATTTAGGCTTATATATACAACCCATATTGCTTTACAGCAGGGGCCCCCAACCCCGGTCCGTGGACTGGCATCGGGCCACAGCACGCCAGAAACCGGGCTGTGCAAACAAGCAAAGCCCCATCCACACGATGCAGGCAGCATGCAAAACCACACCCCCTCCGGTCCACAGAAAAACCTCTCTCCAGGGAAACGGTCCCTGGTGCCCAAAAGATTGGGGGGGCCACTGCTTTGCAGCACTCTCTGGGTGGTTTACAATGGAGAAGCATTATTTGCATATTGCCTGCCCCAATCTGGGTCCTCATTTTATCAATCTCGGAAGGATGGAAAGCTAAATAAACTTTATGCTTAAGTTCATCAGAATTGAACTCCAGGCTGTGGGCAGAATTTGCCTGCAGTACTGCACTTTAACCACGGCGCCACCAGGGCTCCTCACTAGAAAGGTGTTACCTTTGGTTCTTGTGTGGCTGCCACTGGAGGCAAGTTTGACTGTGCCTCTCCTTCCCAGCAAGTAAATTATTGTAGGCAGGTGCTTCATACTCACCTGTGCCTGATAGATGCTGCCAGGATCCCGTGGTCCTAATCCCACGAAGCGGTTCGCAGGGGGTGTGCCTGGGGTGGAGTAGGCTGGGGAAAAAGGGAGGAGGGAAAGAAGAAGGTAAAGAAAAGAAAAAGAGAGAGAAAGAGGACAAGAGAATATTTTTTTTAAAAAAAAAAATCAATCTACTGTTCCGATCAACAGTTCTCATTTCGTGATGGGAACGATTCTCTGCCCCACACCCCAAAGATCCTCAGTCCTTCTTTCCTTTGAAAATTACAGGTATTCTTCAACTTACGACCAGTTGTTTAACAGCAAAAAATGCCCATTCGGGAGAGTGGACTTGGACTTATGACCATGAGATTTGCTTAATAGCCAGGTCCATTTATGCTGTGTCTCGACTTAGGATCACAACTAGATATGACCAGAATTCCGGTCTCAACTGTGGTTGTAAGTCAAGGACTACCTGTATCTTTCTTTTCAGCATTTGCTTATTCTGAATATAGAACCTTCCGTGCAAAATATCCATCGGCAGGAAGACATCAAGGGCAGCAACACATCAAGGGCTACTTTACAAAAGTCAGACAATTTTGTATATAAGTTTAAAGGATGCAACAAGTTCCTTAAGTATGTGCATGACATTTTGGGGAGCAGCAAAGGACGGGGGTGCACACATTTTGTATCTATGCTTTAAATTATGGGATGATTTAAGATAGGGGTCTTCAAACGTGGCCCTTTTATGACTTGTGGACTTCAACTCCCAGAATTCCTCAGCCAGGCATGCCTGGCTGAGGAATTCTGGGAGTTGAAGTCCACAAGTCATAAAAGGGCCAAGTTTGAAGACCCCTGATTTAAGACCTCTCCCAGGGCTTCAGCCAAGACTGGCTACAGAGCAAACTGGAGAATGGTCAATATCAGAGATGCTCTAGCTGCATCTTACACTGTATATTCTGTAAGGAGTGGCAGGTTGAATTAGATGCCCTCCAAGGTTTTAGCTGTACAGATATGTTCCCTTACGTTAGAAAAATACAAGGCTGTTTCATACTATGTCAGATCATTCGCACATTTAACCCAATAGCACCGGCACTGAATTGTTAACTTCAGGAAGAATATTTTTCAGCTCTCTTGGATACACCAAGAATTGTTCCTGAGACCTTCTATCTCCCCAAATCGTGTTCTCCTACTGATCTATGGCCAAGACTGCTTCCTATAGCGTCACACTAGAGTAGATCAGAACTTGAGAAACTTCTCAAAAACCCATCCTAAGCAACCGATACAAGTCACAGAAATTGCAGAAATCTAGAACTGTGCAGCTTGAAGTTTAAGTACAGATAGTCCTCGACTTACAACAGTGATCATTTAGTGATTTATTTATTTATTTCATTTAGTGATCGCTCAAAGTTACAACAGCACTGGGAAAAGGACTTGTGACCTGTTTTTTCACACTTACGAGGGGGGCAATGTCCCCCACGGTCACGTGATTAAAATTCAGACACCTGACAACTGACTCATGTTTGTGACAGTTGCAGGATCCCAGGATCATGTGATCACCTTTTGCAACCTTCTGACAAGCAAAGTCAGTGGGGAGGCCAGTTTCACTTAACAACTGTATTGATAACACTGCAACCGTGTTACTAACTGCAGCGATGTACTTCACAACCGTAGCAAGAAAGTTCGCAAAATGGGGAAAACTCACTTAACAACTGTTCCCGCTTAGCAACAGAAATGTTGGGCTCCGTTGTGGTCGTAAGTCAAGGACCACCTGTACAATTGGAAGCGAAGTCCAAGGCCTGTTCAGCAGCAGCAACTCCACTTAAAAGGATTCAAGCTTACAGTGCTGGAAGAAAACAATTCTGCCACCTCCAAGGTCATAAATAATGACCCTGCCCAGCCCCCATGTGATTACAGAAACTTTGAATCTTCCCAGGGAATCTATTTCCAATGCTGAGTTAAAAGAAATAGATCGATACACCTTTGCTTTGTTTCTTGCATACAGAAGAGCCCGATGTTATACAGCAGTGGAAGAATAAATTTACACCTTATTTGCTGCAGCAGACACCCAATATATATTGTTTGCCAACATCTGGCTCAGGTTTCTTTTTATTTATTTATTTATTTATTTATTTATTATTTTAATTTGTATACCGCCCTTCTCCCATAGGACTCAGGGCGGTTCACAGCATATTAAAAACAAATAATATACACAAAATACAAAAAATACAAAATACAAAAATACAAAAATACAAAAAAATAAACCCCGATAAAAGCCGAATTAAAACCAAATATTACCAGCTGTGTTTCCNGTGGGGGCACCCACAGAGAAGGCCCTCCCCCTGGGGGTCGCCAGCCTACATTGCTTGGCCGACGGCACCCTGAGGAGGCCCGCTCTGTGGGAGCGTACCGGTCTATGGGAGGGAATCTGTGGCAGAAGGCGGTCTCGGAGGTAGCCAGGTCCGATGCCATGGATCGCTTTAAAGGTGGTAACTAACACCTTAAAGCGCAGAGAGGTTAAGAAAGAAGATATTCAAGTGAGGCAATCAGGTTTTCTGGATATGTTTTGCCTATGATGCAAGCTTACCTGGATTTTTCTCCCTTTTTTCTTTAGTTTTGTAACATATATGATTTATATGATTGACTAATTTACTAATGTAGAATCAAGAGCTTGTCCACAGTTGTATAACACTGAAATATTATATATTATTGTATGTGTGTGTGAATGTGCACACAGACATACATGTTGTATACGTAAACATACATATACTGTATGTTTATACATATACACACACATACATATACATGCATGCATGCATATATGCATCACTAGTCATCACTAACATTATTTTTGTTTAGTTAAGCACACATAAATATTATTCCTGTATGCTGCGTTCTTTATATAAATGCTTTCTTTCAGTAGACTTGAAAATGCTTATTTGCAAAGTGGCATGTTCCTAAGTATGCTAGAGGCAGCTATTGGAAACATTATTCCAGAGGATGTAGGCCAGGGGTGTTAAACTGCCGGCCCACGGGCCAGATGTGTCATGGCGAAACAGCGCCCATCCCATTGCTGGCAATGGCAAAAAAGTCACAATACATCACGACACGTCACGTGACATTGTGAGTTTAACACCCCTGATATAGGCCATGTCCCCGTGGATACCTAATCATAGCACATACATGCTATGGGACCTCTTTTTCTTTTAGCATTCCACTGAGATTGCCCTTATCCCCAGACCATATAGGAGATAGGATTATTGGAGAATACACACATAGCTCACACAGCCTGTGCCAGTCTTCAACAGTGAAGGGACACAGGGCAGAAAAACATCCTGTAGCCAAGAAGGCTCTACACACATTTGCCCTACTCAGGTGACCCTGAGGACACAGGTAAGCCTCCAACTGGCCTCAATGACTCTCTAAAACAGGGGTGTCAAACTCGCAACGTCATGGGACGTGTTGCAACGTATCGCGACTTTTCCCCCATTGCCAGCAATGGGGTGGGCGTGGTTTCGTTGTGGTGCATCCAGACCGCAGGCCGGCAGTTTGACACCCCTGCTCTAAAAGAATGCAAATGACCAGTTGTCTGCAAGGAATATAAATCTTTCCATTCCCCATCATCCAGTCAGAGCTGAAGAAGCTTCTTGGATGAGAAGCAAAACGTCTTCAAAGGAAGAACAAGAAAGTCCAGTTGCCTCCTGAAAAAAGCACTTTTGGGACAACCATGACCTGGATGACTGAGAACCTCCAAAGACATAGCTCAGAGTGGAACTGTGGAGTCCTTGGTGCTCTCTGAGTTTGGCTCTTTGCTGTCAGACATTTCATTACCAGACAAGAGAACATCATCAGTGCTGATGAGTGTTCTGTTTGCTTTCTGCTTATATAGAGTAGCTTGTCCTGACAATGTTGGTGTGTTGTGATTTTTTTTCCGTTGGTAGTTCCTTGAACAGTGAAGCAAAGAACAATACCTTAATCAAGGAACTGTGAAAGAGAAAACCACAGCTCCCTACCAACCCTGGCAGGGCAACCTACTTTATATAAGCAGGAAGCAAACACAACACTCACCAGCAGTGATAATGTTACCTAGTCTGGTAATGAAATGTCTGCCAGCAACAACCAAGCTCAGAGAGCACCAAGGACTCTACAGAGAGAATTAAGATGTCCTTCATTACATCAGTGATAAAGTGGCATTTCCCCTCTTATTTCAAAACCATTTAAGGACACTTAAAAGTGTGCAAAACCTGTTTGATTTCCTCACTTTGGCTGGAAGTCAAGGGACTGGCAGGAATAGTGACTGAGAACAGAAGTAATCAAGGCAAGAAAAGGAACTGCAATTGGGGATAGCCAGTTTTAGCTGGCTTCATTTTCTGCTAAGTCAAGGATGGGTAGATAGCACTATAACTCAGAGGAAGCACTATGGGGAAAAACCTGTAAAAACTGAGTTTTTTTTAGAGCAGTACTATATCTTTCTGATAAACTGTGCAGGAATTAAAGTGGCTCCCTCCCCACAAACCTCATAAATTATTTCCCACTCTCTTATGTACTGTATAATGATAAGCAAACATATATACACATACACAGACTTTGCAAATAGGCATAACCACAACACCTACGTGACTTGCTCTAGGACAGTGAGACAGGAGAAGTTAACTCAGGTCTCTCTTGTTACCCATGTAAATTCAGTATGTCGGAATGTTCAGAGCAGTGTTTCCCAACTTTGGCAGCTTTTAAGATGTGTGGACTTCAACTCTCAGAATTCTGGGAATTGAAGTCCACAAGTCTTAAAATTGCCAAGGTTGAGAAATACTGGCTCAGAGTACACCACATGTGATAGAGGAGGAAGAGGAGATTGGCATCAAAAATGGGTAACTTTGGAAAGCTACTAGGGAGGAGGAAGAGGAGGAGGAAGGAGAAGGAGAAGGAGAAGGAGGAGGAGGAGAAGAAGGAGGAGGAGGAGGAGGAGGAGGAGGAGGAGGAGGAGGAGGAGGAAGAAGAAGAAGAAGAAGAAGAAGAAGAAGAAGAAGAAGAAGAAGAAGAAGAAGAAGAAGAAGAAGAAGAAGAAGAAGAAGAAGAAGAAGAAGAAGAATTTGTGAAAGACTGGATGAGAAGAAGCTACATCATAGCTGATGATATAAGCTCCCAGGAAGACCCCAACTCTTATTAGAGGGGGTGCTAAGGCACCCTCTCTCCACAACTATTAGAGCACAACAGAGGTATTTGCAAGACTTTTCTCAGCAAACTGCAAAAGGCAAAATAAATTACACCAAATACACAGCCCTTAAGAGCGACATTTGGCTTCTTCCCTGCAATTAAAGAACAATGAGCCAAGACACATGACCAGTTAAGTTCCAATCTATTAAGCCTCTAAACAAAAGTTTATGCCACTCCCCAGTTTCCAAACAGAGCATTATTGTTTTTTAAACCTTTAGGAATATTGTCTGGAAAGGAGAAAATGACACGCTATGGATTTTATTAGTTTGCCTGATAGATTGGGAAAGTGCTAGGAATTGAATTAGGGAGGGTAGTTCCATGTTTCAGTTTACATTATTTTTTTTTCCCAATCAGCAATGTTAAGGAAACTGCTTTGATATGACATCTGACTGAACTGCCAACTAGACAATAGAAGTCAATAGCCATACACTCACCGCAATCAAGCCTATAAGCTTCCATTAAACCCAGTAAGATGCCTAGGTAAAGAACTGGTGAAGCACGAAGGAAAACAATAGTATTTTACCAGTACTAGAAAAACACGGTTTTTTTTCAAGGTAAGGAAAATAAATATCCATGTTGTTTGACGGAGTGATTAAATAGAGAGAAGTTGCATAATCAAAGTCATTATAAAGAACAAGGATTCCTTTTACAATAATTATTATTTCGGAGTTGGCTATTCTAGCATCAATATTTTGATCACAGACAAGCAAATTTTCAGAAGGTAAGGAAAACACGTGCCCCTTTTATACAGGATGGGAAATGGAAGATGATATTGTATGGGAAAGCAGCAATCGACAGGCAGGAACAAAATCCTAACACTAAGTCTTTTTAAAACCTCAAAGTCCTCAAAATGGTCCCCAAATTATAAGCAGCATTCTACTTTAGCAAAATCTTGGGAAAACACTACGTCCAATCATAAGATGCTAGGAATATGCAGCACTTCAAATTCATTTCCTAAGGGTGGCATTAGAGTCCAGAGGGGCAAGAACGGAGTCTCTCTTTAAGGGATTAAAGCAGCTATGTCTTTTCCTGGGAAAAGACTATGTATGATCCTGGGAAAAGACACAGCTGCTTTAAGAATTCAAAACGAAATGCTGGGGCTATGTTAGTGCCCCTATGTGCTTTGAAGGACCTTTTTCAAAACAGAAGCCCTGTACAGCCCTTTAATGTACCATTTGATCAACAATGTAAGGGGAAATAGGGCCCAGGGCAATATTTTTCAAACTTGGCAAGTTTTAACTGGCTGGTGAAGTTTATGCTGGCTGAGGAATTCTGGGAGTTGGATCTACACATCTTAAAATGGCCAAGCTTAAAAACACTGCTCTGAAATCTGCGCAACACCACACAAAGTTGCATGGAGGCTGCTTCTCGCGGGCCTCAAATTTAGAAGGCCAGCCGGAGCGCATGGCTGATAAACGTTTATGATAAACCACCTTTTGCTTCTGAAAAGTTTGGGATACCCTATAATTTTCAAGGAACTGATCTTATTTGGTGTCCTTAAACATGGAAAGAGAGAGCCAAATGGAACAACTTCATTCCACAACAATTCCTCTCTTAAATTCGAGCTTCGCTTTGTACGACAGGCATGCAAGGTAGATGACTAGAGGCCTTGGATGATATTCTGGGAAGCTACAAAGGCTATCTTTACCTGCAACCTGGCATGTTTTATGGCAGCATGCATGTTTGCGTAGGTTAGCATGCATGTTTATTTGGGTTTATTTAAAAAAAAAAATTCACCGATTTAAATCAGTGACCATTTCTGATCATTTAAATGAGCGCTTTGAACTTCTGTTTAAATCCATGCACCCTGCTGCCATCTCATCTCAAAATCCTCTCCCCCAGAGTGGCCATCCCCCCACCTTTATCCCCCAAAATCACAAGGCTGCAGAACAGTCTGAATTGGCGAATATGGCCAGAGGGTAGGGAAGAATTAGTGACAGATGGCAGGCAGGTGGACAAGGCCATTTGGGAGTGGGTAAGTGCAGGAATGGTGAGTGGGCTTGCTTACTGGGAGACGTCGGCGAGGTGGTCCCTCCCTCGGAAGTTGTCGTGGTAGATTTGGTGTCAGGTGAGATTGCCAGGCGGGGCATACCTGGGGGTGGCGGCGCCAACATCTGGGTAGAAAGGTAATGCCCGGGTACCTTCACTTGACCACCTCCATTTAACTAGGGACACAACATAAAAAAAAACACAGAGCAAGCCATTAGCACTGCCCACAGGAGTCACCTGCCCGCCCAGGGGGACCTCCCCCCTTAAAACGGGGACAGTGGGCGGGCTTCACTGGGGACCCTGGGAATCTTGGCCAGCTCACCTGACTGCAAATATGGAAAATCTATTCAATTGTCATGGCTAAGAGTTTGAGGTAGTGCCCTCCATGTATAAAAACTCTTCACAATCCTACCTACATGTCTAGCTCGGGGGGTGGGGTGGGGTGGGAAACGATGGCCCCTTTCCGACCTGTGGACTTCGACTCCCAAAATTCCTGAGCCAGACTGCCTTAGGAATTCTGGGAGCTAAAGTCCACACGTCGTAAAGGGGCCAACATTCCCCACCCCTGCTCATGTGGCCACACTGGTTTCTAATAAATCTCTCAGGCTGCTTACTGTGACACTGTGCTAACAAGCTGCTTTTTCTGTGCTCTTTATTACTCTTTAGCATTGCAAATGTAGGTTTATATTTTGCGATTTTTGTGCAGATTGCCAAAAATGAATTTATAGCCACAGCCACACGAATAACCCAATATGCTTGGGTGTAGTCATAAAATATCACAAACAAGCAATGGTGCTATTATGCTATGTGCTGCGGCATCAAAATTCTTTTTCTCCTGATTTTTATGTATGCACCCGAATGTTGTATATACCGTGTTCCTCTGAAAATAAGACCGGGTCTTATATTAATTTTTGCTTCAAAAGACGTATTAGGGCTTATTTTCCAGTTAGGTCTTATTTTCAGGGAAATACAGTACTAAATGCATCCATCTGGCTGATGATCTTAACTGGGCCTTATTTTTGGGGTAGGGCCTGTATTATGAGCACCCTGAAAAATCATGCCAGGACTTGTTTTCTGGTTAGGTCTTATTTTTTTGGGAAAGGGGTATGTTCCTGGATGTTATCAAAACATTATGGTACACAAAAAGAATCTTGGTACAATCATACATGATCACATAAACTGCTCTCCTGTGGCATTTTACAATGCCAAAAAGGGAAAACAAAATAGAGAAAGATACTGAACACTGTTGTTATCTATGGACTGAATAACATTTGAAAGGAAAAAAAAGAAAAGAAAGAATGGCAAAAATGTTAATATATCAACACTTTGTAAATAAGTCCAGATAATTCAGAACTCAAAAATTGGGAGGAAATCCAGATAAATACATTTGAAAAGCATTCTTAGTGCTCCCACTAGAGCAGTGGTTCTCAACCTTTTTAATACCGCGACCCCCAACCGGTCGTAAGTTGAGGACTAAACCAGTTGTAAGTCGAGGACTAAACCGGTTGTAAGTCGAGGACTACCCAACCGGTCGTAAGTCGAGGACTTTCCCTGCCCAGGAGCGCCACGCATGCGTGGTTCCACCCCCTGCGCCGGCCAAGGCGTAGCTGGCAAGCGGCAGAGACGGAGCAGGCCGACCACCAGCTGGCCCAGCTCAAGGGAGGTAAGGCACCCGCTGGAAAAGGGGGAAAAAATGGCGGACAGCCTTGCTTGGCGACCCCCGTGAAATGGTCGATCGACCCCAAATGGGGTCGCGACCCATAGGTTGAGAACCGCTGCACTAGAGTTAGTACAGTATTGCCTATATCAGTGGTTCTCAACCTGTGGTCTAGGGCAGAGGTCCCCAAGCTTTTGGGCACCAGGGACCGGTTCTGTAGAGAGATTTTTCTGCGGACCGGATGAGGTGTGATTTTGTGTGCTGCCTGCATCCCGCGGATGGGGCTTTATTTGTTTGTGCGGACCGGTTGCTGGCATGTCACGGCCCGGTACTGGTCCACAGACCGGAGTTGGGGACCCTTGGTCTACAGACTTCGGCAGGGGGGGGGAGGGCACGATGTTGCCACAGGGGGTCTGTGAAGGCTTGAAAAATGTTATGATTTAAATCTTGAGTTAAGTCTTGGGAGTCCGTGGCCACAGAAGGGGGTCCATGGTCAAGAAAAGGTTGAGAACCACTGGCCTATGTAATATAATTTTCAGTTCTATCTCCAGCCTAGGTTTTCAACAGGAAAGAGGATTGATTGCACCAAGGAAGCAATCACAGATATTCAGAAGCAATACTAGCTTCCAATTTTTCTGTATGTTCCTGTATGTATGCGAGAAACAGAATGCAATAATTCCTTCTATTGCTGACCAGCTGTCCTGCATGTAACCAATACATTAACTGCCCTTGAATGGTACCATCTACCTGGATGGACACCTAGCAGAGATAAAGGAGAAGAGACCTCCAATAGCAGACATTTGTGTACATGTGTGTACACTGCGGCCTAGATGCAGCTTTGTTTAGGAGAGCAGAGAGAATATTTACTATTCAAACTCTCTCTCTGTGGTTCTACACCACTTTCTGGTCTGACAATTTAAACTATTGTTTTGTGATCTTATTTAACCTGATAGCTCTTTCAGAGGGGGAGTTGGCATCTTCGCCACATACAGGTAGTCCTCGACTTACGACCACAGCTAAGCCCCACATTTCTGTTGCTAAGTGAGACATTTGTTAATCCCATTTTACAACCTCTCCTGCCACATTTGTTAGGTGAATCACTGCAGTTGTTAAGTTAGTAACACGGTTATGAAGTAAATCTGGTTTCTCCATTGACTTTGCTTATCAGAAGGTTGCAAAAGCTGATCACATGACCCCCGGACACTGTGGCCGTCATAAATAATGAGTCAGTTGCCAAGCCTCTGATCACGTGACCATAGGGATGCTGCAATGGTTG